AAAAAAAAAAGGGGGGTTGTTCCGGTTTCCTTAACCGCTCCAGACCGTGATAATAATTTGGAGACGCCGTCTTTATCCTCACAACCGTCAGCTTTTTCCAAACCAAACGCTTTCGGGGACTAAAACCGGCCGTGTTTCCTCCACCTGACACAATAATCACAGCTGTGGGCGGGGTGACGGGCGGCGGTTTGAGGCGGAAGTGACGTCATCACGCAGCGACGGCGACAGAACGTCAGTTTTTTTTTTTTTTTTTTTACGTCAGGCGGAACCAAAACAAAACTCTCGTTCAACGTGAAAATACACTGAATGGATTTGGGACAGAGAAGTCTGTAAAAAACCATCTAAAAGTCTTCACAGTGTCAGAATGGTCTCCACGGTCCAAAACACTGATGTTAAACCGGTAAGAACCCTCCTTTCAGAGGTTTATAAGCACGAGCTCATTCTCAAATTGAGTTTGTCAAACTTTTTTTTGACAAACTGCATTTAAATAACCACGTATTTAACTATTTTACCATTTAAAAAAAAGAAAGAAACATATTCATATTGAAAGTCGAAACATCATAATCTTCTGCTCATTTCGGCATCCAAATGGATATTTTTCTATCAATTGTTTGCTTTAGTTTTAACTATTTAGGCTCACGAACGTCCCTTAACTGATGCTAAATAAAAATAGCTTTCATGTATGTGGGACTTACTGTTTCTGCTTTAGTCAACAGGCTAAACGCAAAGGTTGCAAAATAAAATAAAAATATAAGTATGGAACATAATAACTAACTACCCTAATTGCTCATTCACAAAATCAAACAAAAAATTCTAGTAAAGGTGTGATTCATTTGTCTTACCTGACTGTTAGATGATGTCAGAAAATTGAATGTTTCGTGGAAACTTCATTTCATTTCATTTAATTTATTTTGAAACATGATATGGTTAACAATGTTTACATTGAATGCTTCATAAACATGCATTATGTTTAAAAAAGGAGTAAGATGAAGCATAAGCTTAATAAGCCCTACCCCTCAGTCACATGTGTCATGGTGGTAAAGGACAATTATTTACAGTAAGACAAACAGTATAACTTTTTATATATTATTCTTTTTTGTATTAATCAAAAATACTTTTCTTATATTCTTTTTTTAATTGCTGGATGCTTTTACATTGTTTAATGTTTTCACTCTAACGCTAACTGATAAACTAAAGCTTCTTTTTGTTGTTCGAACATACTTAGTTTTGAAGTGTAATTTTCCTCTTAGATTATATTTTCCATCTCTATCAGAAAATACACGTTGTATGTGCGCAGGGAGGACGTTTTTTCTTGCTTTATATATATATATATATATATATATATTTTTTTTTTTCTTGCTTTATTAAGAATTTGAGCAGTTCTGATTCCCAACTCTTGGAAAATGCAAAGTTGTGGCCATTATTATTTAATTTTTCTGACGTCATTACCCCATCATCTTGAGATGTAATAAATAAATAAACGTCTGTCTTCCCTCCTGTCTCCGGGCAGAAGGACGGGGAGCGGGCGCTGGTCGTGGCCGTGGCGTCTCGGGCCGTTTTCCACTCAGGACCTGAGGACGGCGTCCACAGACCGGGCGTGGCCTTCCCCCTGCTCAAGGTAACAGATCAAAACCAACTTTTTTTTTGTTTTTAACGAATATTCAACCTCTAATCCACAGTATGGAAGCTTTTAAAACACACCAGTCGGTTTCTGGTTTGCAGAAACACATGCTTTCTTTCTTTTTTTTAAACTTTTTTTTTTAATGTAGTGTCTGAAGCTCCCAATTAAGCACAGACTCTTCTGGTCATAGAGCATATACACACCTGGGAAAACACATTCCTAAAGTAGAGTATAGGGAGGAGGTTTAAGATGGGGATGAAATCCATTCTGCCTACACTCCTGGAGCGAAACAACCTGGCGGAAGACAAAAAGCAAACATTCAGGATATGGATAAAATATAGCCTGGCTACAGGCCTTGATAGAAACAGCCTGGTGTAAGACAAAAAGCACGGGATGACCAAATATAAGGGCAGGGCACCCAGAATTAGGCAGAGTTTCCTCTGAAACCTCTCCAGACTTGATGCATCAATCTGAACCTCTGACTGGCAATAAACTCCTATTTTTTTCGACCAAATCTGCCTCAGCAGAGTTTTCTCTGCAGCACCTTAAATGAAATGAAAATGAAATGAAATTTATTCGAACATGATACAAATATAAAAATAAAATAGTGCACAGTAGCAAGACGTGCATCAGAAAGAAGAGAAAATACAGATTTTTAGTTTCAGTTAACATATCATGCTCAAAATGGGGTAGGAAGAAGTGAGAACTTATAAACTCCTACCCCTAAACACTTGAGACTAAAGTCCTACTGTCATTAGAAAAAAAAAAAAAATCAAAATCAAAGTGGCAGTCAGAAGTAACAGTTACTAAAATTTACATATACATTTTCCCATTTTATGCTGTTTATCTTTCTAAACCCTTACACCAAGTTGTTATCTTCAATACCCACCTTATTGCTTTCTGTCCCCATGTGTGTATCTATTGAAAATTACCTCTTTGTACTTCCTTTTGAATTGTGTTAAAATATTGCTTTGTTTTAAATCTTCATGTAACGTAACCTTCACCTGAGCTACTTGAAGACGACCATCCCATAATTCACCAGATTAAACTCAAGCCTTCATCCAGCATCCTTCTGTCCTAAATGATCACTTCAGCAGCAAATATGGATCATGTGGATTTGTATTCATCCTGAAAATGGTTCTGCAGGAGCGTTTTTTTTGCCCGGTTTGATGAAGGTTGCTGAAAGCTTCTTTTTATTAAAACAGGCTGTCAGGTCTGATGGGATTATGTTTGCAGATAAGAGTTAATGTCAGTGGACACTGAAGATAAGAATAATTACATAGAATAATTGTGTAGATTACAATTAATAATACAAAAAAAACATAGCAACAGTTAATATCGATAAGGAGGAAACCGAGGTTTATAAACCAGCTGAAGCTTCATTTCAGCTCCAGGCTCCTTAAATCTGGATCAGAATTCCTGAAGATGTAAGACAGAACCCAACTCTGGATGTTTAAATCCAGATGAAAACACTTCTGTTTAACTGTAAGATGGAAACTGGATGTATTTTTTATTTTAGTTTTGTGAGAACATGACAATACAGTGGTAGATACTTTCTTGGAGCGTGCAATGTTACTACTGCCTCTCAAAATTATTTAATAAAAAGCTTAGTAAATTACATCTTACAACTTTGAACAAACTGGGGAAGATAGACTTACATGAAAAAGCAAAAAATAGATAAATAAAATGTCCACCAGGCGATTTTGAAATAAAGTGTGGTAGATACATTAATCCTTAGATACGACAAAAAAATAAAACATTCCTGAAAACGTGAGACAGAAGCCAACTCTGGATGTTTAAATCCAGATGAAAACATCTGTTTAACTGTAAGATGGAAACTGGATGGATTTTATCTGCACCCTTCACTTTTTATCCGTCTAATTTTGATTATTTATCTGCTTTTAAATTCTCTATGAAGCACTCTGAAAATTGTCTCGTACACTAAATATAATGTAAAATAAACTTCCCTTACATTTTCCCAAATGTTTAGTTTGTTGGAAACTGCTTAAATGTTCTCTTTTACCCATCTGACTCATTATTCTTTACCAACATTATTCTGTGGTTGGCTTTCTCCACAATCCTTTACACACAAACTCCTTTTCCTGGCTTCCCTTCCGCATCATTCAGAATAAAAAAGGGCCATCCCCGGATTTCCCAATTATCCTTTTAACCCTTTAAAGCCTGATCCAAGAATATATAAAAAAAGAAAATTACTGTTTTTTTGTTTTAAGTCTTTATTTGGCTTTTCAACAAAATATGTAAAAAGATAAAACAGAAATACATTTTTTATATTAATAATTTATTACTATGCGATAAGTCCAGATTATTTT